GGCCGCTCGCGCTGGCTGCCGGCCACTCATGGTAGCTTATGGCAGCCCACTGCAGCCTATGCCATGGCCAGCCACTCACAGCAGCCCAGCTCCAGGTCACCATCTGTTGTTCACCATCTTAGCTGTAGAGGGCACAGCGTCACTGGCCCTCATGTGGGATTCAAACCAGGACCCTGCTGCTCAGAGCTGGCGTCCCAAGCCAATTCTTAACCAACACACCACTCGGCTGGCCCTGAGTTTCAAATCTGGAACCATCCTTTTGTCTCTGGAATAAATTCTACTTGATCGTGGTGTATGATTCTTTTAATATATTGTTGGTATTAGTTTGCTAATATTTTATTGAGGATTTTTGCATCTTTGTTCATCAGGAATATTGGCATGTAATTTTTTCTTGTAGTGTCCTTTTCTGGGTATCAGGGTAATGCTGGCCTTCAAAAAAATGTGTTTGCCATCCTCTTCTGTTTTTTTGGAAGAATTTGAGAAGGTTTTGTATTAATTCTTCTTTAACTGTTTGGTAGAATTCACCAGTAAAGCCATCTGGTCCTGGACGTTTGTTCATTGGATGTTTGAGAGGCTTTTTATACTTGAAACATAAAAGCAGATTCCATGTGTCTTACTGTATTCTGGAGAAATTGCGTTAGTGATTCCAAAAGTATTTAAGGAAAACCCTAGTTGCCAATAATCTAAGCATAGGTGAAAAGGATCCCATAGGTACAAGTTTTACTTGGTTGCATGTGTAGGTCTTTGTTTCTACCCATGCCTTGGAACTCCAAAAAATGTGTATTGATCCTATGTTAGTGTTTACAATTAGGGTTTATGATTGTAAGATGTTATTACATCTAAAAATGCCTGTTTGGGCTGGCCGAGTGGCTCGTTGGTTAAGAGTTGACTTGGGAGCATGAGCTCTGAGCAGCAGGGCCGCCAGTTCAGATCCCACATGGGCCAGTGATGCTGCCCTCTACAGCTAAGATGGTGAACAACAGCTCGACCTGGAGCTGGGCTGCTGTGTGTCGCCAGCGACTGCGTAGGCTGCAGCCCCTGCTGCAGTGGGCTGCTGTGAACTACCATGAGCGGCTGGCAGCCGGTGTGAGCTGCCGTGAGCCATAATGAGCAGCATCCAATGGCCTGCGACCAATCTGCCTCAGTCAGGAAGAGTGCAATGATCACAATACCGACATGGGCCAGTGAAGCGACATCCTCCACAACTAAACTGAAGAACAAAAGGACAGCAATTTGTCTGTTTCCCTTCCCCATTCCCCATTGCTGTTCCCTCCCCCAATTCCCCAATAAAATCTTTTAAAAATAAATAACTATATATATATATATATATATATATATATATATATATATATATATATGCCTGTTTTGACATAGACTAATGACTGTCAAAATGTGAAGATGGAAGAATGTAAATTTTATGTTACGTGTATTTTACCAAAGTAAAAAAAAAATGGAGGAAAAATGTAAAGACAGTTGACAGAAAGGAATTTTAAGAAGCTCTAAGACATGTAAAGAGTTTTTCTTTTTTATCCCACTTATTTAATTACTGATGATGAAAATGAAGCCTCAGGTTTTTTAGCTGGAAAGGGGGTTAACAATACCTGACTCAAAGTTTTATCAACACAATTGAATTAAAAGGGGAAAAAAATACAGATTTAGAGCACATATCATAATACCCCACACATAGCAGGCAGCGATTACAAAGCAGCTGCTATTACAATCCGGAGGACTAAACTTCATTTCTCGAGGTCACACAGCCGGTCTGTGGCAGACTTCAGCCTAGAATCCAGGTCTTCTGATCCTGAGTCTCTCAAAGATTTACTGTACCAGTCTGGCCACGAGACACAAGGCCGAAATCATTTGTGCAGGCAGTGAATTTTCTGAAACTGTCTAAACTGTTCTTTCCTTCAGTTTTTTGTTCTATATCTAAAGAATTAAGTGTGAATACTATTACTAAAGAGAATGAAAATATTTTGAAAGTCTTTCAAAATCTTTTTTTCCCCTCCTTTTCAGAGTCCAGAGGTCATTCAGAATTTGAAAATACTACCCATTCTGTGTTCAGGTCAGCCAAGTTTTACTTTCATCATCCAGTACATCTACCAAGTGATCAAGATATTGGCCATGAATCCTTAGGGAGGAGTGTTTTCATGAAGCATTCTTGGAAAGATTTCTTTCAGCATCAGCCAGACAAACAGAGAGAACACACTTTTCTTCCTTCCCCTTATCAAAATGAGGAAAAGATGAAGACAGATGATACCAGAATTGAGAGTCTCAGTATCGATGTAAACTTGGAGAACAAAGAAGCGATACAGCCTACTAACACTCAGGCTGCAGATCATGCAAAATGTGACAAACCAATTAGTGAACCAAAAAAGAGTGATGAGGTCACTCCAGAGCCAACAACTCAGCACACTGCAAGTTTGAATGAACTCTGGAACAAGTATCGGGAGCGACAGAAGCAACAGAAACCTCCAGGGTTCAGTGACAGGAAAGAACTGTCTTTGGTGGAGCGACTTGATCGTTTGGCAAAACTTCTTCAGAACCCCATCACACATTCCCTTCAGCCCTCAGAAAGTACACAGGATGATAGCAGAGGGGATCGAGATGCTAAGGAATGGAGTGGTAGACAGCAACAGCAGAAAAACAAGCTTCACAAAAAGAAGCGGTATAAAAGTTTAGAGAAATGCCATAAAAACAAAGGAGATCTTAAAAACAAGGTGCTTTCTACTCATCAAGCTGGGAAGTCCAATCATATTAAAATTGAACAGGTTAAATTTGATAAATATGTTCTGAGAAAACAGCCCTGTTTTCATTATATTAACAACACTTCTTCAGATTCTAGACCCTCAGAGGACAGTGAGCTGCTCACAGATACTGCCACCAATGTCCTTTCCAGCACCACTTCTCCTGTGGAATCAGATATATTGACCCAGACAGACAGAGAAGTGACTTTGCATGAGAGGAGCAGCTCTATTTCCACCATTGACACTGCCCGATTGATCCGGGCCTTTGGCCATGAAAGAGTTTGTCTGTCACCCAGGCGAATTAACTTATACAGCAGCATCACTGACCATCAGCGGAGATACATTGAGAAGCGGAGCAAGAACATGAAGAAAGCATTGAGCATGGGTTATCCCCAAATGACTTGTGAGCACACCAGAAGGAAACACATCCAGGTACATGGCTACAAATTTCCTCTGGCAATGTGACTGCCTTTTTCTTGGACTTTCTAGTTAAGCTTTGCATACAGGTGAAAAAAAAGCCATTTGCCTTTCCTCACTATAACATTTCTTACCAACTGGAAAAGAGTTAGAAAGTATAGTAGTGTGCAATTGTGAGTTGTCATTCTTTTCATCAACACTCATTTATAAATGACCATTTGGATGAAGGGCTTTGCTGCTCAATGCTTCAGAATCTACAAAGTATACCCCTCGCACAGGGGAGCTTTGAGTTTAGAATGACCTCCATTCTGAACAACGTTGCCTGGGTTGTTTTATTTTGTTTTTTGTTTATTTATTCCTTCCTGTCTTTCAAGAAATTTTGAGTTGCTTTTAAACACACAAACGCACACTCACAGACAAGTAACACAATATGATTTTTTGAAAGTAAATGAATTGGAATAAAAGAAAATTAAATGGAAACCAGAGAGGAGTGAGCTACATCATAATTTTTAAAAATAAATAAATGAAGAATTATGAGTGATAGGAAGATATGTTGAACCCAGAGGGGAGATACATAGACCTTGTAGATATATGGTTGCTAGATGTGAGCCACGAATTTCACTTCATGTTTTCTACCTGTTAGTGTTGCTCGAATTTTGTGGTCAATTACATTAATCTGTAATATAAAAGCAAACTAAATTTTCAAAAGCTTTACAGATATTTCCAGTAATGAGACCTAAGAGAAATGTTACTCTCTGTTCGAGTCCTCAGCAGCATCCTTGCAGTAGGTTCGGAAACAAATCCTATAAGGCTAATAACGGCCTTCGTCGGGAGTTTGGTAAAGGCAGATCTCAAGGGATCAACAAATCAGACCATTACTTGAACCCAAAAATAAAATTTAGGGTATCCAAAGGAGTGCTCTCCAAAAGTGATGCTTGCAAAATGGTTCAGAGGTGTATAGAAAGAAAAACTTCATATTTCTATTCATTTTTTCAACCTTTTAAAATTTATAATTTTGTATATGAGTTCAGTAGTAAATATAACTTATAAATAAATATGTACCTACCTTGATAATTTATGCTCAAAAATATTTTATCAGTAGGACTGCATGATCAAATAATTTAGAGACCATTAGTCTAGAGGAAAGAAGACACAAGACGTTTGGACATTTACCATAAATATTATTTCTCATAATTGAGGTTTTGGTAGGTAGTAAATGACAGTGATTTTATATATATAAATAGTACAACATCACTTTTTTTTTTAAGTAAAAAAGAATTGGGAATAACACAGATTAAGGTTTTTTGTTCTGTAGAGAAAATAGAGGAAAAAGAGCCAAGTAGAGGGTGTAGTAAAATACATGCACATAACATAAAATTTATAATTTTAGCCATTTTAAAGTGTACAATTTAATGGCACTGAGCACATTACAACCATCACCAGTATCTATTGGGTTTTCGGAAAAGTCATGATGTATTTTTTTCTGTTTGTCGTTGCAAAAATGCGTCTTGACTTTTCCCACAACCCAATACAATAGTTAGAGAACTTTTTCATCACCCCATTGGAAACCTCATACCCATTAAGCACTCTCTATTCCCCGTTCCCACTTGCCCCTGACAACCACTTACCTAATTTTCTGTTTATGTGAACTTGCCTTTTCTGGTTATTTCATATAAATGGAATGGATCATACAATATGTGACCTTTGTGTCAGGATTCTTTCTCTTTAACTTAAATGTTTTTAGGGTTCATCCATGTCCTGGTATAAATACTTCATTGCTTTTGATATTGAATAATATTCCATTACATGTATATACTACATTTTTTTGTTCATCAATTCATGGACATCTGGGTTCTTTCCATCTTTTGACTATTGTGAATAGAGCTGATAATGAACATTTGTGTACAAGTTTTTATTTGTACACAGTTCTTTTGGTAATATACCCAGGAGTAGAAATACTGAGTCATATGGTAATTCTATGTTTAGTTTATTGAGGAACTGCTAAACTGTTTTCCACAGTGGCCACACCATTTTATATTCCACCAGCAATGTCTGAGGGTTCCAGTGCCTCCATATTCACTAACACTTATTTACCATTTTGTGTGTGTGTGTGTGTGTGGGGGGGGACATTCTAGTGAGTATGAATGACGTGGTATCCATACTCATTGTGGTTTTGATTTGCCTTTTTCGTCCCTTATGACTAATGATGTGTTAAGCATCTTTTCATGTGCTTGTTGAACACTAGTGTATCTTCTTTGGAGAAATGTCTATTCAAGGCTGCCTACTTTTTAATTAAGTTTTTTTTTAATTGTAAGAGATCTTTATATGTTCTGGATCATAGACCATTATCAGATGTATAATTTGCAAATATTTGCTCCCACCCTCTCAGTTGTCTTTGCAATTGGTATTACTGTCGTTAGATGCACAACAGTTTACTTTTGATGAAGTCCCAGTGTACCTATTTTTTTGTTGTTGTTGCTTGTGCTTTTGGTTCCATATCTAAGAACCCATTGCCTAATCCAAAGTCATAAAGATCAGTCCCTATATTTTATTTTAAGAATTTTGTACTTCTAGCTCTTTCATTTGCATCTTTATATTAAGTTATTTTTTGTATATTGTATGAGGTAAGGGTCAAACATCATTCTTTTCCACAGGGATATCCAATTGTCCCTGCACCAGTTATTGAAGAGACAGACTATTCTTTCTTCCTTGAGTGGTCTTGGCACCATTATAAAAAATCAGTTGACCATAGATGTGAAGGTTTATTTCTGGGCTCTCAACTCTATTCCTTTGGTCCACATTCGTATCTGTACACCATTACTGCACTAATTTGATTACTGTGGCTTTGTACTGAGTTTTAAAGTGGTCTTTAATCCATTTTGAGGTAATTTTTGTATATGGTGTAAGGTGAGGCTCCAACTTCATTCTTTTGCATGTGGATATCCAGTATTTCCAGCACCATTTGTTGAAGAGACTGCCCTTTCTTTATTGAGTGATCTTTCACCTTGTCAAAGGGTCAAAATCCTTTGACCATATATCCTACCATAGGCACAAGGGTTCATTTCTGGGCTCTCTATTCTGGTCCATTGATCTATTTGTCTGTCTTTATACCAGAACCACAGTGTTGTATTACTGCACCACTGTAATATGCTTTGAAATCAGGAAGTGTGAGTCCTCCAGTTTTGTATTTCCTTTCAAAATTGTTCTGGTTCTTCAGGGTTTCTTATAATTTTCAATGATTTCTTACTGTTTTCAATCTTTTTTGTTCATTGCTGTATGATTTTCTTTGAGTTGTTTTTTTCTGATAACTTAGCATCCATGTAATCTAATAAGGTGCTTAAGCCACTCTTCAGCTATGAAACAGTATCTGTTGACTCCATCTTACAAAAAATTAAGAAACTGGTTACACTTTATCTTGCTTCTCCCACGGACGCCCACACACACATACTTCCCCCAGCGCACCAATATTCATTATATTTTGTGAATTTCATCTCAGTTAGTTATGTTAGTATTACTACCACACTGACTAGCTTTATTTTTAAAAATTATAACATTTTACTTCCACATTATAGCAAAAACCGCATTTTTTAAAAAAGATTTTATTGGAGAATTGGGGGAGGGGAACAGGGTCGGAGAATCGGGGAAGGGGACCAGACAAGTTGCTGTCCTTTGGTTCTTCAGTCTAATTGTGGAGGATGTTGTTTCACTGGCCCATGTTGGTATTATCATTGCGCTCTTCCCGAGTAAGGTAGATCGGTCACCAGTCACTGGATGGCTGCTCACAGCAGCTCTTGGCAGCTTATGCTGGCTGAAGGCCACTCACGGTAGCTTACGGTAGCCCACTGCAGCTCCACTGCAGCCTACGCTGTCTCTGGCAACTCATGGCAGCCCAGCTCCAGATCGAGCTGTTGTTCACCATCTTAGCTGTAGAGGGCAGTGTCACTGGCCCTGCTGCTCAGAGTTGGCGTCCCAAGCCAACTCTTAACCAACACACCACTTGGCTGGCCCAAAAACCACATTTTATATTAGTTAATGTTTTTAAACATAGGGTCAGTATTTACCATGAGTCTTTTCACGTAACTATTTTGAGTTTGTTAATTTAAGTAATTCTATTGTTTGGCTAGATTTTAAAACAATTTTTCTAGAGTGAACATCTTTTCAGTTCTTAAAATTTTGACTCTCTATTACCTTAATGTAAGAACAACAACTTGGTTGGGTATAAAACTTTTGGATGATAATCCTTTATTCAAAACTTCGTCAGTTTTGCTCCCTTTTTCTGGGCATTGGCATTTAATGTTGCTGTGTCGGAGACAACCCTATGGGTGCCTGGTTTTTTATTTCTGAATTCTTGTCTGTTTTTTAAAATTTAAATTTGATTACTTCCCAGGGTATGTCTCAGTGTTGGTCAACTTCTATTGATTTTTTTCCTATTGAAATAAAATTCACATGCCATACAGTTTACTCTTTTAAGTATACAATTTGTTGGTTTTTATAGAGTCAGAGAAGGTAAAACATAGGCAGCCCTTTATATCAGTCCTTCATCACAACCAGCACCCCTAATTCCAGAACACTTTTGTCGCACCAAAAAGAAACCCTGTGCCCATTAACCGTCATTTCCCAGCCTCCTTTGTCTTCCCCCTGCAGCCAGTAATCTATTTTCTGTCTCTCTGGATTTACATGTTTGGGACATTTCTTATAAATGAATCATGCAATATGTGGCCTTTTGTGTTGGCTTCTTTCACTTAACGATATTTTCAAGATTCATTCATTTTCTAGCATGATTCAATACTCATTGTTTGTCATGTCTGAATAATATTCTATATACCTATACTTTTTTTTCCCATAGGTTGCTGGACTTTTGAATTGTTTCTGCTTTTCGGCTATTAAGAAAAATGTTGCTATAAACATTAATGTACAAGTTTTTGTGTGGACATATTTTTTTCTATTTTCTTAGATGTATACCTAGGAGTAGAACTGTTGGATCAAATGGTAATTCTGTTGAATCTTTTGAGCAGCTGGCAATGTGTTTTTCCAAAGAGGTTGCATCATTTTAGATTTCCACCATGATTATATTTCAGTATTGCCACATCTTTGTCAACACTGTTATTGTCCATCTTTTGATTATAGCCATCTAAATGGGTGTGAAGCAGTATCTGATTGTGGTTTTAATTTGCATTTCCCTAATGACCAATGATGTTGAGCATCTTTTCGTATGCCTTTTGGCTGTTTTTATATTTTCTTTGGAGAAATGTTTGTTTAGGTCCTTTGCCCATTTAAAAATTGAGTTATTTGTTATTTTATTACTGAGTTTTATTTTTTTATATATTCTGAATACAAGTCCCTTATTAGGTATATGATTTGCAAATATGTTCTTTAATTCTGTGGGTTGCTTTTCACTCCTAATGATATC